TCTTCCCCCCTCCCCCCTTTTTTGATTCCTGGGTTTAGCCTGTGGTGACTGATTCGGTCTGGGTGCAAGAGGCTTTCTGTGGCAGATAATTCCTCCTCCAAGCGTGTGTCTGTGGGGTCTGTCGCCTGCTTCTAGATGGATTTTCTCACTTTACCTTTCAGGATCACATCAATCATTCAGTTGCATTATGCTTCATAAAAGTGTTGGCACATGTTATTGCTTAAAAACAATAATTGTGATTCAAATATGCTGAAATCCTGTAAAATGTTTCAGGAGATGGTAGACTGCCCCACATTTGCTGTTTGTTTTTTCAGAGGTGCAAGCACACTGGCAGTGCTTCCAAAATCTTACATTTCTCTCATGTTTTTAGCTTTTTCTCTTTTCTTTGTGAGCAGCTGAATTATATTTATTTTCTTAAATTTCTTTTCTGGTGTTGGAATCAGTTTGTATTCTCGTTAATCACAGCGTGGAGATTTCTCAGATTTGGATTCCAGTGCCATTGATAAATACCACGGTGGCAAACGCCCTAAGCTAAAAAGTAAATTTTCACTTTCTTATGTATTATTAAAGGTAGCGTTAGTCTCTGAAGAATTGCCTTGTAGATAGTTATAAATAATGATCAGTCTGTTCTTTCCTGCATTCAAGCCAATATCTAGTAGGAATTCTTTACTGTTGTGCAAAAATGGTTCCTTTGCTTGTACTACCATGAGCATAGTTTCAGTGGGAATGGGACGTACCTCTCTGCTTCAGGTATGAGTAATGGAAACTATGAGCATGTGTAATTTCTGGCATAAATACGAGAAAAAGTATGAGTAAAAAAGTTGTGGGCCATTAACTTTGTCTTGTATTTTGAAGCGGAAATATTTAACAAAGCTTAAATAATAACACATTTTTTGTTTTTTACAAAATGGGACAGATTTCAAAGCATATTTTTGTCAGTTTGTTGCTGGCAAATGGTATCAAAATAATGATATATTAGTTTGAGGCTACTAAATAGGCAACAATCTGCCCAATATAGTAAAATCTGACAATGAACTGTTACAATGGACGTGAGTTTGTGCCATGTAACTATGTATAGAGAAAATCATAGAATCCTAAAGTGCTGTGGGTTGGAAGGGACCTTTAGAGGTCATCTAGTCCAACGCCCATGCAGTGAGCAGGGACACCGCTAACTAGATCAGGTTGCTCAGAGCCCCGTCCAACCTGGCCTTGAATGTTTCCA